TGGGCTTGTAGCACAAGGTCCTTGTGTTGGAAATATGTTTAAAGATGGTAGCAGTGCCCCAGACTGTCTGACAACAAAAGGTAAAACGACTGAACAATAATGAATAGGAAGGAGTAGTGGCACAACTTGATGCAGGGAAACTGCGAGGCAGGACAATTGGTCTGAATCCGTGATCTCCCGAGTGCTAACAGGCGCGCAGGGAACACTGGCTCATCTCAACTGTCTCTGCTCCCCTGATAGTCTCTTGGGCAAAGCATGACTCAGCATGACTCAGCGATTGTGCACAGAGTTTTCATAACAATGAGAGAAATACAAATTTTGAGGCGTTTCACTTTCTACGGTGTGACGCCGTGTAGTCAGGTAGAAGTTCACTTACATTTCTGAGGAATTTACTGTCTCAGGCTATGCAACTGGTTTCTTCTAACTAGTTCTTGCGTTTGCTTACTCTTCGACCTGAAGATGGAGTCAGTATGATTCAACTGAACGACTGTGAACTTGTAGTACAGGGCACACATTCCAGCAGACAGCACTATTCATAATCACCTTCAAAACAAATACTGAATTTTTTCTGAATGGTGTTTGCCACATTGTCATTTTTCTGGGTTGTGATATCGTGCAGTTTTGTAAGTGGTTACTATCTTTCGTAGGAGAATTCTGACTCCTTCTTCAAGGTTGAAGTAAATAGGGTGAGAATATGGTTAGATTATACAGGCAGGTGTCAACGACTTTCTTGGCAGTGTTAGTATTCACCTACAAAATTGTACGGTGTCACAAACCAGGAGACCACAGCATGAATGCAGGAAGAGCATAAGATTGAATTACTCTCCTACGGTCTTTTATTAGTGGGGGGTGGAGTCCAGCTGGATCCACTCGGCACGGCGGCCACTGATTGGCCTATTGTAGCGTGCCCCGAGTGATTATGATGATGTAGAATTTGGTGGAACGAAGATTGGCAAGGAAAACCGAAGTACTCGGAGAAAACCCGCTCTAGCGCCACTCTGTCCACCACAAATCCCAGTTGACCAAACCCGGGATCGAAGCCGGGCCGCCGCGGTGGGAAGCGAGCAGCTAACCGCTTGAGCTATGGCGTGGCTGCTTCCTACGGCCTCACTATACGTTTCTGTTCAATTTGACTGTGTCAGGACCGTCTGGGGAGTCCAGTCGCGTTTTCGAAACGTCCGAATGTAAAAGTCTCATTTGCTTTTGAGGCTTCACGTCTGGCAGAAACTGTCGTTAATGACACATGGTCGCTCGTTCGATACTCAACTGAACAAGAGCCGCTTTCCCTAATCCGCATTTTTTGTTCACACCAGCTCAGTCGATATAGCATCGGGATACGGCATGGACGGCTGTGGTTCTATTCCCGATAGGAGCAAGAGNAAACGTCGGTTAACACCACATATACACGGTGCCAAATCCCAGAAGACTGCTTTCTTCATAGTCACCGCCGTGAAAGCCTCAAATCTTACAAGAGACATTTCTAATCGTCACAGTGTCCAGACCTCTTCCGGTGCACACCCGGGCTCCTGTCCAAAGGGAACCGGGACTCTTTCCCCGTAGGTGAACCGACCGAGGCATGAAGCTGACCACGAACCTCCATGTAGTGTCTACGTAAGAAATGGTGGAGCTATACCTCCACGTCTTCATGAGTGGTGTTTATTTAAATAAGAATAGAGACACGTGACACAGCACTCAAAACAGTACAAACGACTCAGCACGCACGTAAACTACACGACTAACAATAAGAACATACTCGTACAATCAAGAGAAATAAACGACATCTCCCACCATCAGGAGGAAAACATGACCCAATGTTGGCTGAAGATATTTTAATATAATAACTAATTTTTTACATACAAGAGAAATTTTAATACAATTTTAAATACATATGGAAGCTACTGTATGGAAAAGTGAACATCATATCGCGTGCAGAGGGAAATCCCAGTCAGAATACCCAGCAAATACGCTTAAAAGAAACAGCATCATACGTAAATCTACACTTCAAGAAGCGTCACTGTGAATGCCTAAGGCAAACATCAAAACTAACCGTGATAATAACAAAAATTTATATAGTGAGCATTATTCATAGCTTAAGTGCATACTGTTAAAACATCTTATGTGACAGTGTTTCCTGATCGTAGTGGTGCGCCTCTGAGGATGACTCTTTTGAATCGAAACATGTAAGGCGAATAAAGACTGAAGTGCTGTAACCTTGTATGTCACACTGGACTGAAAATTATCCACTTTGTAAGAATAGAGACAGTTTCACACTTTCCTTTACAAGCAGACATTAAATCTCTCCCATCCGACATATTGTCACATGTAAGTGACTGCACGCGGGGTTTGAACTGATAATTGGATATTCAACATTTATAACTCGTACCTATAGTAACTATAAGATTTTCAAGAATCTACATACTAAACAAATTACTATACTGCAATACACAAAACCTTCTATGTGTTCACCAGTCGTTGCTTGGTAACAGGTCCTAGCAATGGATGCTCCTGTGCTTCTATACTCATTCCCTCACTGGATAACAATTGACTGGCAGCTAACTCATGACTGAATTGTCGATTCTGCTGGTGCCCTCGCTATACGAGCATAACCTGGGCAAGACACGTATAGAAATTCCTCTATAGTCGCAAGTTTATTCGTTGCTGCGGAAGTTCTTATCGAATCATTACCAAGCAACGGCTGTCTTCTTCAGTTATCATATCTCAGTAACTAAACTAATCTAACTCCATGGAGCTGAGCCCTTCCTGAGAAGCTGCCAGTTGTACAGCTATGCTAGGACTTCCAGCATTTCATATAACCCAAAGGTTCAGAGCCCTCCAATGGTCCCTATCCTGAGCCAGATCAATCCAGTCCATACAGCCCCACCATATCTCTCTAAGATCCATTTTAACATTATCGACCCACCTACGCCTTGGTCTTTCTAGTGGTTCTTTCCTTCTGGCTTTCCCACCAATATCCTGTAAGCATTCTTCTCCCCCATTCGTGCTACATGTCTTAGTAAGTTTAACTAACAGAAATACCCGTTCTTTGCCCGGGATATGGTTGATTTCCTGAACAGTATCGCAATATATGGTAGCCGTATTCATCACTGGCGCAGGCGTGTGGGCGGCAAGCCTCCTCCTGTATTTCTTAACAGACATCAACTCTAAAAGAAGAGAGAAATATAATTCTTATTAAAAGCGTCTTTAAATATATTGTTTTATGCTCACTTTCTTAAGGCGACCAGCAAAAATAGTGCTCCGAGTTCGGCGCCTCAGTCGGTAATGCAAGGCGTAACAAGTAATGAATACACATACGGAGTGCCTTTGGTAAAGGAGTGACCTCATACGGAGACGGAAATAGCAAAAGAGTAGATTACCAAGAAACGAATGTGCCCCACTGTCGTCCTTTAAGTAGAATTTTTAAAGTAATCCACGAGAAAAGGACTAAAATGTGAATGAAATTTCATGCAAAGTGTGACAAGGTACACAATGATGACGGAATCTCATCCATATGGCAGTGTCTGCCGTCACAGCACTTAGAGTACAAAGCTCACCAGACACCACAGTTTACTCTCGCGATAAAGGGAAGGAAAATGACAATTGGTAAAGCAATCACAGACTCTAAGCCAATAGTTCAGCTTTGTAGCCATCTCTGCTACCGTACATGCTTGCAGTAGTGTACAGGAAATGTCAGTTCTCTGTCAATGCTGGAGCAGGAAGCAGGGAACAGAAAAGTTGCGCATGCGCGCGCACATACGCAAAAAGAATTCGGAATTTGAAGCCTCCCGGAATCGTGAGTGAGAGAAAAATATGGTCATGATTTCTGCGGGACTCGCAACCAAGAATGACTGTGCTAGCGAGGACCAGCAACAAGTTATCCTACCCAATACACACAGACGCACAAAGCTTAAGTTCTGACTTTTCATCATTCTGATCCTCTTGTGTAGTTCTGCAGGAGTCAGAGGGCCGCGCCCTAGCTCAAGCGGTTAGTCGCTGGCTTCCCACCGCGGCGGCCCGGGTTCGATCCCGGGTCTAGTCAAGTGGAGTTTGTGGTGTACAAAGTGGCGCTGGGGCAGGTTTTCGCCGAGTACTTCGGTTTCCCCTGCCAATCTTCATTCCACCAATTGCTCCACAATCACCCTCACCTATCATTTGGGGCTGGTACAATAGACCAGAAGTGGTCGCCGTACGAGGGACTTAGTCCCACCCCACTAGCTTTAAAAACATTTCTATTTTCGTTACATTTAAACAACTTACGAAGCCCTAAGTTGCAAACAGAACTACATGGGACGCATCTTCTAGGAAGCAACGGAGCAGACACTGGAGACCCGAACACTAATGTCAGTTTTCTCGGACACTGGTTCCAGAAGTCTGTGACGATGGTACATTAGTACAAATGTTATGTTTTCGGACATTATCCACCGTCTTATCTTTATCTAAAAATCGTCCTGTTTATTTTTCAAAACACAACGTTTCGGAGACTGGATTCTGTCTCCGTCTTCAGGTAAAACCTACTCAGTTGGGCCCAGTCGATAGAGTTAGTCCCTGCCTCCGGAGAGAGGAAGGGTTTTTAGATAAATACAAGACGATGGATAATGTTCAAAAACATATTTGTTCTAGGAACCTGTTTTACCGGTCGGACGGATTTCACTGTTGTTCGTATTCAGTTAGGATTCTTTAGCACCGATATCACCAGGCAGACTCCGAGACGTTATTTCAAATCAGGCCACGGCCACTTCTTTCCAAATCCTTCCCAGCTGAATACTAAGCCATTCGAAGCTGTGTAATATGTACCACTGACAGGGTCATTATATAGAACACAAAGAAATACAAACAAATACCCACAGTAGCTGATACGGCAACCAAAGCAAGAGAGCACGCCTTCATTGCATGCTGGATTTAATGTCGGCTTCATCTGAAAAGTTTAATTATCCCGAATGCTTTTATATAAATCGATGGACTACTTTCCTTAGCGGACTGTGGTGGAGCAGTGATTTGGTTACCTGTACACGAATGGTCCTATTTCCGTAAGCTTGGGTTTCTCCCCGTTGTTGAGGAAACCGTCAGGGTTGGTGACGTTGTATATATACACCTTGGTAAGCCTGATGACGCCAGGTCTCTGCCAGTAGTGGTAACTCAGGGAGCCGTTCACGAGCCTCAGGTTCTGGAAATATAAACCTCAGCGTCATTAGTAGACATAACGTCCATGAGACGAAGAGAGAACAAGAACACAAGACAAATATGAAAGAAGAAGAATGACAGATAAGGGAGGAAGGAAGACGATGAAAACTAATATACAAATCCTTTAATTAGTTACTGTACGATTCTGACGATGGTGTATAACACACAGAGATATTGGGTTTTCGGTCTTTATCCATCGTCCTGGTTTTAAGATAACTAAGAAAAACACGGCCGGTCACGGTAGCCGAGCGGTCTAAGGCATGCACTGTCTTC